GGAGGCAAACCGCGGACACGTGTTTCTGGCTATTGGCCTCATCAGCGCGGTGCAGCCAATTGCAAAGATGGACAACAACTGGTTACCAAAAATGGAAAACATCACATATGCACGGTGTCACCAACAGGAGCTAACCGCACATTTGTGGTTTCAATTAGAAGACCTAGAATTCCCAGGCATCATCTAACATCACCACGTAGGCAGCTATAGCTACCTGCGTGACTTCCGGGTCCAGGATATAAATACAGAGATATGCAATTGGCTGCACCGCGCTAATGAGGCCAATAGCCAGAAACACGTGTCCGCGGTTTGCCCACTATTTTGGAGTGTCCTGTCCACGAATTTCCTCTTTTTGATTTATATTATACACACTATAAATTTCAGGATACGCCAAAATCGTACTAATGAGCTTCTATGGGCTCTTTGTATTCTTTGACATCGACCACCAAATTGAGTAGTAGTTGTAGAGTAGCAGAGGTTTTATTTACTCTCTAGAATCTGAAATTTTTTGAATGTGATCTGTTGGATTTTCTCCTGACGTTTCGCTGCCGCAAGTGGCTGGCATCCTCAGAGGTTTGTGATAACGCTCCCAAGATTGGGTGTAGAAACGTTAGGAAGGAATTCCAACAGACTACGGCCTGAAAACCCGGAACCAATAACAGTTTCAAGCGATGGCCACCAAAGCCTAAATTTCTAGATACTGAGTCTGTTACAAAATCACAAGGTGTGGTATTCATTCTTGTTACAGTCATGGAAACAAAGAAATATTCTCCTGCAGAGGTATCAAAATCTGCGTCGACTGGTTCAAAGCTCGAGGTCACAAAGACATTACCGTTTTTGTACCGAAATGGCGAAAGGAGTCTCCCAGGCCCGATAATCTCATACGCGATCAAGAGATTTTAGCTGAGCTGGAAAAGGAAAGGTTGCTGGTTTTCACGCCTTCCCGGCTAGTGGGCGGGAAAAGAATGGTTTGTTACGACGACAGATATATACTGAAACTGGGAGTGCAAACAGACGGAATAGTAGTCAGCAACGACAACTACAGAGATTTGTGTCAGGAGAATGCAGAGTTTCGGAAAGTGGTAGAAGAAAGGATATTGATGTACTCGTTCGTTAACGATCATTTCATGCCGCCTGACGATCCGTTGGGTAGATCGGGACCGACTCTGGATAATTTCTTGAAGTGTCAAGCGAAAAAGGGGGATCCACCTCCACCTTGTCCCTATGCGAAGAAATGCACTTATGGGAACAAGTGCAAGTATCATCATCCGGAGAGGGGTCCTCTGCCACACAAGAGCGTCACGGAGAGACTATCAGAGCATGCCCAGAGACATTTGCAGGTAATATGAGCTGTGATTATTTTCGAACTTATCATTAGGCACTTTGAAAAGTTGTCTATTACTATTGAAATTTCAAGAGGCTCACAAGCAGAGCTTTATAAATATATAAATAGATAGAAAGATAATTGGATCTTTATTTGCTCCGCTTACGTATAATGTACATATACAGGGTGTAATAGTCTGGTTCACATGTACTCGATTTAGCTCTTTTTGGTGACATTTTTCAGCCCTGTCCAAAAATTATGACCAAGGTGTCATTCGATTCGTTTTTTTGCCTAGAAAGTTTAAGGAAAGGTCCGAAAACGCGCCGATAAAAATTACAAAAGGGAATGACTTATTGTGCTATAATTTCTGCATATAAATTGAAGTACACGAAAGGATAAATCCC